CTCGTTGACCAATCTTCATCCCTACCTTCTCACCCTCGTTGATGAATGTACACCCCTGCCCCTAACGAACGTTCAATAACTGCCTATATTACTCTAACCGTTTTTAATCTCTTTTAAGTTCTTATACGCTAGTTGTAAGATGAATAAAGCCCAACTCTAGGGTACTCTCTAATTCTCTTTCCTCGTCTGTTTGGCTCGTACTAACTGAATTTTGCGACTCTATCTATTCCGATCACGACACCATTATAAAACTTTGTTCTCAGGATGAGAGACAGAAATACTGATATAGCTGCTGCCAAAGTCTGTAGTATTCAAAACACCCGCGACTACAACTGCTTAAGCAATCGCTGTCAAGGTTGCGTTCCATTTACAAATATCAAAAACTAGAGAACCCACTAGTCTCCAGATCTGGATTAATCACATTGATCCATTATTTTAGTTAACTTGAGTGAAGCGGCCAGTACATGGACGGGGTGTGAAACAGATGACGTCGGGAACGAGCCCTGTATGGGCTAACGGAGTGCGTGACGACTATTTACTTGCGATCGACAAATGTACCTATACGGCAGCGGAGATTTATATCATACTGCAGTAATCTTCAGAGACAATAACTGTCAAGGACGTTGAACTTCCTAAGGTTAACAGCGTATAGTGTCTAAGTTTCGTACCCAGCGTGGGATGCGTTTAACTTAAAACACTGCTAAACGACCACACAAACATTTCCGAGTTGTATGTGATCAGTTATATTCTGCTGAAATAGCCCATTAATAGCAGAGGAATCGAAATACACCAAATACTAAGCCGCTTTGAACAATTACTGAAGAGGGGACCAAATATATGTGTGGGTAGGGAGGGGGGGGCGGGGATTTGTCTAACAGAAATTTATTTCTCCAAACGTCCGTTTTACGTTCAATGCCCACTGTTCTCAGCGGACGCTACAAAGCTCGAGCACAGTGGCTGACAAAGCTCAGAAGTCCGTCTAAGTGTGCTACACATGAGCTGACCATCACTCAGTATGTATCAGACCCAATTTAGTAAACGACCCCTAAGCTCGCCTAAGGGAGAATGATAGAAAAGCCAAATTAGGAAGATATCGTAGTCTGGCTCCCAGTCCTGAGACGGATCAAGGTGACCCATTTGTCGGTAACCTTGCAGGTCATGACAGAGAGCATCAGATTTAATATAACGAAAGATACGTTGATTTGCCCCGAGCACAAATATCACAGTAACAGCCTCGCTGTCTTCCATCCTTAATATGCCAACGGCTCGTCTGACGAGGTAAGCAGCTTTAAAAATATTTGTTCCTTAGCGTTTCTTGCGACAGACGCCATTCATAATGACGGAAAACAAGGCTGAAGAAGGTAAGAGCTGGTACACAGCCCTGCCTCGGCACGCAATCAAAAATACTTGAGAAATTGATCCGCTGTTTATGATGTGTATCAGCATTCCGTTCGCCGAATTGAAACCCGATTCTCTGGAGTCCATCGCGATTAAGTGTGTCTAAGGCCTTCGCCACATCTTTGAAGGTGGCGTATATGCCAATCACTATATCCCACCAATTCCTCAAAGTTAAAGAGCTGTGAAGATTATGTCCGCAAATTCACCGTATTGCTTAAATAAGTGCATACTCTACTTGCGCATTCAGGCAATCGAATGGGACTTGGGCTACGATTTTATTTGCAATTTTTTGGAGGGAGTTGCGTCTGTCTAGCAAATAATTAACAGTCACCCTGGTGTTTACAAATATCTGTTAGTTGCAACACATCAGGAGTGAGTAGGAACGTTTGTACTTCAGTTCAAGGCGCCATGGTTATAAATTCCGATGTCGCACTGCTGTGGTCATCTTCTGTAACCGAAGGCGGACGATCAAGGCAAGCATTATTGTCTGCTTGAAGTCCGTCTGAAGTGCTAGGTGCCATGCTTGTAAAAATTACTAGCCTATGGACGACTTTGCCATTTGATTTAACTTAAAAGACTCGGACAGTCTTACTTCAAAATTGGCAACTGATGTATTGTGCAGTGTTCTGTAACGGTCGTTCAGAAAGAAACTTGTTTGGTACTAAAGGCCGATGAGATTCTATTGCTGGAGGTGCAATCTTCACAATTATATCATGACGGGAGCACAGTAACTCCTGACAGGTACCCAGGAAAGTTTTCCCCGGTAGGCCGAAACAATTTTCTGAGGAATGCATCCCATGGAAAACTGTTATCTGCGTCAGTGCGGAAAATTAGTCACGAATAAAATTAATTCGGCTGCAATTAAACGGGCAGACGGACAGACTGTGCTTACTCAGCAACACGGAATTCGAGTGACAATCACCAGCAAGTGTAAGTTTGAAAGGT